AATACGAAGAATAATCATTTGTACTATTATTATTAACTTTAATTCTTTTGCTCGAAGGCCCGGCGTTCTCATTACACGACATTTTAGTTGCTACTGAAACACGTGGCGACGTAGCCACCGGAAATTTCAAGTAATCTGTATGCTGCGTGCGCATCTCTCTAGCCGAGTGTCGCATATATCGGACGGTGACTGATATAAACGACACTCGTCTGTGTGGCAAATTATAAGCTCACGATATATCCGCCAGTCGCCTACCTGCCAATTTCATTTTAAAATTTTGGCTGATTAATCATACACTGGTCTTTGGAGACGGATAAACATAGTGACATATATATCGGTCAGTCGTCCGTGTGGCAGTTTTCTTTCTGTCCGATATATCGGTCAACCGTCCTGAAAGGGTTAATTATAGTTTCTTGTTTATTTTTTGTTTTGGTAGTTATTTTTTCTTTGCCGGAAGCGTGCTGTTGTTCTTTTCCGGTTTCTTTTGGTTCTTTTGGTGTTTTGGAGTCTTGTTTTTTGGGTTGGATCTCCGTCTTTTTCGTTTTTTCTTCTTTTGAAGTTTGGTATATCTCGTTTCTTTCTAGAATGTTCACGATTTTGTCTGTTAGACGTTTATTTTCTGTATCTTTTTCTTTAATGATGTTTTGAAGGTCTTGAATTTGTGCCTTCATTTCTTCCTGGGTTTTCCGGAAGTAGCGGTGCTGCACGTCTATTATTTGATTTAATTTGGTTATAGCGACTAGCATGTCTGCTTTTTCCATATTAGATATGTCTGCTTCCTTATATTTTTTGCCTTCCTCAAGCTCAGGTTCTGAGTCGTCGTCGGAGTGTATCCTCTTCCTTCTGTGTTTTTCTTCGTCGTTCTCATACATTTCTTCGGAGATTTCGGGTAGTTCATAGCGTTGATTTTGGTTATGCGCATGTCTAACGGCCTCGCGAAGTACGGTTATTTCATTGTCTATTTCTGAATAAGTGTCTGATATTATAGATAAATTATCGACCTGGGGGGAGGGCGACCAGGGTTGGTCGTCATCTTCTTTTTCCAATTCTGACACGTGCGTGTCAGGACTATTCTTTGGGGAGGTTAGCGACATGTTGCCTTACGGCGGTGAACAGAGTTCAAAAGATTGTAGGGTATCTTTTATTCTAGGGTCCCAGAGACCTTTCGCGGTAGTTCTCTCCCTGTGTCCACAGGGAGGGATCCTCTTGCAGTTCTCTAATCTCAGGAGAGGGGGCCGTTTCTGTCCGACTTAGCTGCAACTATCTAAGCCTTACAGTGTCATACCCTTCGCACACTGAGATCACCCGTAGTTTTCTGCAGAAAATACCGCTGCTATTGTATTCCGTGGCGCGCCAATAAATGTAACGTTCCAACGGTTTACAGATAACAACCGAGTAGTCAGTGTTTTGGTTATCTGTCAGATCGTTTAGGCTGTGGTTTAGGTATTGGCACAGAATAATAAACAATCAGATTGTCCACTCTCAGATGCCGCCTTTGAAGTTTTTCAGCACGCGCGCCATGTTTTAGAAGGAAACACATAACACAGACATATGATTTGTGAGGTTATGTAATTGTTTATATTTATGTTTAATTATATTTATGTTATTATATTTAACAATGTTAAATATAAGTCTGTCTATATAGTCTGTCGTATAGTATGTCTATGATTGCCGTAAGTCAATTAAACCGTGGAGTTTTCCAATTTTTCATGAAGAGTGGGCATTCTGATTGTTTAATATTCTGTGGTATTGGTTTATTAATTCATTTTTGATCATATCTATTTCTATTTTTAACTATTGAGTGACGTTGTTCATTTTTATTGTGTGCAGCTTAGTTTTCCTTGCTTTTCTTTTTCTTTGCACCAGTTCATGAATTACTTTGGAATCATTTTGGCCTTGGTTTTTCTTATGATTTGCTTGATATTGTTTCATGCTGCTTGTTGTACATTTATGGTTAGTTTCTCTGCTTCTTCATCAGGCTGTTTATTAGTTTTGATTGGTGCAGTTAGGTCAATTATGTCACTTAACTCTTGTTTAAAGCTGTCACAGTCCGTTCTCTTATTACCTAAGGTAGGGTTATGAAACCATATCTTGCATTCCTAAATAAAAACAAAATAGGAGATTGGAATGCAAAAATAGGAAAAACTAAAATAGATGACCATTTGAAAGAAACCATAGGTAAGCATGGCTTAGGCGAGCGAAATGAATGAGATGAAAGGCTTCTTAAATTTGCCATCAATATGGATGTTAGTATAGTAAACACAATGTTTAAACATCATCCATAGAGATTATCAACATGGTCTTTGCATGGAGGACGATACAAAAACCACAAAGACTATATTCTTATCACCAAACCATGGGGGAGATCAATAATGAACGTGAAGACAAAACTAGCTACAGACTATGTGTGGTTTCGACCACAAAATGTGACAAGGAGAATTTCGCATTAAGTTACACAGCAAATCAAACACAAATAAAAGACAAAAATTAATTCCAAAACACCCGGAAAAGTTTAGAGAAGCATTAGCAGAAGCTGACCTAAAAGTGATTAGCGGAGACCCTGACAAAACGTGGGAATATACAAAGAAATGAATGACTGAAGCCATCAACAATTTTAATCCCAAAAACAAAACAGCTAGAAAAAAACATTGAATAACTGAAGAGACTCTAAAGAAGAGAAATAAATACAACTATAAAACACTTATCCAAAAGAGACAAAAATAATTATATTAAAAATATATGTGTAAAATTAGAAGAACATGCTGACCGCCAAGAATCTAGAGAACTTTTCTCAGAAGTCAAGCATTTAGCGAGAGAATTTAAACCGCAGACACAGATCTTCCAAGATAATAGTGGAAATACCATAACAAACCCAGACGGTATCGCAGAGGTGTGAAAACAATATTGTGAAATACTATTCTTTATCAACGACTTAGACTATAATACAGAGAAAAGAAGTTATAAAAAAGAACCTCAAATATTGAATTTAAAAATTGAGGTAACAATTAAAAAGCTAAAATTTAGAAAAGCAGAAGGAGAAGATGGAATAACGGTTGATACACTCAAAGAAATGAAAGAATTAGGGACGGAAGTAATGCTTAGAATTTGCAATGGGATCTGGAATACTGAAAGTGGCCAAATGACTGGGTAAACTGACGTTTATTACCGTACAGTAGCATTGACATTACACGCGAGCAAAGTACTTCTAACCATCATCAATGAAAGACTAAAATCAATTCTCTTACCACAAATTCACCAAGAACAATGCGGATTCCTCCCAGGTAGAGGGACAAGAGAGTATATTCTTAATGTTCGTCAAATTATCGAAAAATCTCGTGAGTTTACCATAGAAACATATTTATGTAATGTTGACTATTCCAAGGCCTTCGATATTGTAAAATGGGATAAAATGTGACATATCCTTAGAGAAATGGGTAAGCCAGAATATCTAATCTATTTATTACAAAAATTGTATGTAAATAATATTGCTAATGTATAAGTTAATGATGTGGTTATTAATGTGATAAGAACAGAAAATATATAACAATTAAGGCTTTTGAGTCGGATATATAAGTTTAAGGTTAAATTGCAGAGAACATTCTTCATCTGTAGGAAGACACTCCTTGCTTTTTCGATCCTACATTTAATCTCGTAGTGATTCCAGCTGTCTGTGATGTTGAATCCTAAGTATGTTATTTTTTTTTGTTCTATCCAATACCTTATTGTCTGCCAAAAACTTTGCACCTGTATCTTGGTTTTTGCTTATAATCATAATTTTCGTCTTTTTAATATTAAGTTTTATTCCATATTTTCTACTGATGTTAAATACTTGATCTATCAGTCTTTGCAATCCTTCAGCACTATCCGCAACAAGGACAGTGTCATCTGCATATCTTAGATTAGATTACATCCTTACGAAGGAGAAAAGCTAGAGGTGCAGGAGGACGGTTACGTTCTCTTGGTATAATATGCTCGCTGATTGTTAGTAGTATTAGAGAGTGATCAGAACTGGGACCATCAGTTTCTTCTGTTTTCATAAAATCTGTTGAAACTTTTCTTGAAATAAAAATGTCAATCAGATCGGATGTTTTTGTCACTCAGCCAATATATGTGTTGTTCAATTGAGTGCCATTTTCCCTTTTTATTTTTTATTGCTGCATGCAATTTTCTACCGTTTGTAGTGGTTAACCTTAAACTCATAAGGCATTTTTAGCAATAGTCTACACCAATGATAAATTTTTTTCCAAGTAAGTTGAGTAAATAGACGTATGAAAAATATGTAAAATATGCGGTTACTACTATTGGCTCATATTTTTTTTTATTTTGTCGCTTATACCAGCTGCCTGGATGGCTTTAGTCTCTGTACTTTGTTTTAGAAGTGAATAAGATTATTTTTTATTGTTACTGCTGCTCCTGCACTAACTGTATTTTAAGATAGAACTAACCAGAAAATACAAACATTTACTACCCAGATTTTTGTACTAAATACGTTTAATATAGTAGAAATCTTTGCTGTCTGGAATAATTGATTTTTGTTTCATACAATACCCTGACCAGACATATTCCTAGTTTTTTTGTCGAAAGTTCGTAACGTTCATTTTTATTTTTTTCTTTATTTGGTATTAGAAAGAAGAAAAAGAAGATAAAATTAATTAATATTATAATAATTCTCAGTTTATGCTGAAGTATTGTCTAATGTATTCTTTTCGCTTATTTATCCGAGCTACTGGAATCCAAATATCTAGTTCTATCCAGCTCTTGAGTAATTTTGTCTGTTGATTTTGTACGCACACTAATAAGATTTAAGTTGCACTGTTTATTTCCTTATCCTTCTATAATAGGTAATATATTTTTTTTCTTTTACTAAATACTTTCCTTATATATCTGTATCACTTATAAAACTGCATTAAACTTTTAAAACTATTAAATGAATCTCTTCAACATAACTAAGAATAAAAAACAGTCTCTAAAATATACACGTAGTATATTATTTGTTTTAGGTGAAATAATAGACAAGAAGTTCAAAATATCTGTGGGCATATCAGGCTTAACTGAGGAACATAAACCGGTCACTGTTCTGGATTTTAATGCAAATAATAGGTAAGCTTTCTAGTAACAATTCATACTACTGTTATAAATACATAAGACTCATCATCATGAATGGTGTTACAACTTTTTGTATGCTTTGACGCGTTTTCTATTGCCTTCCATTACATCTTTCCACCTTTTTGTAGGCGGTCCTACCGATCTTCTTCCATCTGATTTTTTCCAAAATGCATTGTTTATAAGACGATTTTCGTTACTTCGTATCACATATCCTATCTATCTTAGTATATATATATATATATATATATATATATATATATATATATATATATATATATATATATCATTATATTTTTAAATCCGTAAAATAGTTTTCGAAACCAATTCAGATTTCTGCTTTAATCTGAACCTTCTAAAAATTGCAAGGTAAACAGACGTTGATAAAGATGTTAAAGGAGACATGGTGAATCTAAAATTTGCATTCCACGACATGTCTCCTCAACTAAGCAGAAATCCTTAGCGAATTGGTTTCTTGTACTCATACAGAGTAGATTCGAAGAAAATGAAAAACACAGATTAGATTAGATTAGATTTCACGTACAAAGCGTCTATGTATCTATACGAATTTCAGCCTAATAGGCCTCATCAGAACAGTTATTCCTATGAATAGCTGTTCTGATGAGGCCAACTAGCCCATTCCTATGAATGGGCTGTTCTGATGAGGCCTATTAGGCCGAAATACGTATAAACAGATACATAGACGCTTTGTATGTGAAATCTAATCTTCACTGTCTTTTTAATTTTATTCGGATCTACTCTGTAAGAGTACAAGAAACCAATTCGCTAAGGCTTTCTGCTTAGTTGAGGAGACATGTCGTGGAATGCAAATTTTAGATTCCCCATGTCTCTTTTAACATCTTTATTAATGTCTGTTTACCTTGCAATTTTCAGAAGGTTCAGATTAAAGCAGAAATTTGAATTGATCTGAATTATCAGATGTCGCTATTGCGTCTATATCGAAGCCATTTTAATGTTGCTTCTTAAAGACAGAAAATGTTTATTTTTCACGTTGAGAACACTTATGAATAGCTGTTCTGATGATGTCCTTTAGGCCGAAATACGTTTAAGCAGATACATAGACGCTTTGTACGTGAAATCTAATCTTTACTGTCTTTTTATTTTATTAGATTTTTCTTTGCGAAGAGAGAATGTAACTAGTTATTGTGCCTGCGTCCTCATTCGTTTGTCATGCTATCTTTGCAAAGATCATATCTTACTCGAAGGATTTTAGGTTTCCGTGCCAACAATTTAATTATTTCTTTTTTTGTTAGCTTCCATGTTTTGCTTCTATACGCGATTGATCCTAGATATTTAAATTCTTTAACCACTTGGAAGTTATAATAGTTTATATAAAGCGTGCCTACTTAAGCTATGTATAAAGCGAATACATGGAGTTGATTTCAGTTTACTCCAACTAGCCTCTTCTGCTCAAATCTGACTCTCACCTTTACGCTGGTGTCCCCTGTTAACCGAGCAACTCAGCTGAAGATCCGGTATCCAACCCGGGTGGAAAGTTGGGTCGGGAACTGACGAGAGTGAGTAAAATGGCCCTCCGAAAAGGGGGTTTAGCATTGGGTTAACTACCCAACCCGATAAACCCCAAAGTTACGAAATCGAAAGTCAAAAATGCCGGACGGAAATTTCGACGACGACCTTTGCAACGAAATAAGGAACTGAATAATGGAAATAATGATCTTAATGTACTTACCTGGAACGTTCGCACACTTAACGAACCTGGAAACATCCGTAAACTGTGTGACATATTAGCACAATATAATGCTGATATTACTGCAATACAAGAAGTACAATGGACAGGCCATAGCATAATCCAAAAAGCAAACTACAATATATACTATAGTTGCCATAGAACCAGACATGAATTTGGGATAGCCTTTATAGTCAATAATAAAGTCAAGCACTTGGTTATAGATTTTAAGCCGATAAATCGCTGATTGAGCTGCATAAGGATCAGGAACAAGTTTTTTAATATTAGCCTTATTAATGTCCATGCCCCAACAAAGGACAAGAGAGACGCAGAAAAAGATAATTTCTATAATGAATTAGAAAGAACATATGACAATTGTCCCAAAAATGACATTAAAATAGTAATCGGTGATCTAAACGCAAAAATCGGAAGGACAGAAATATATCTACCGCACATATGGTAAATATAGTCTCCATAATAATACTAATTCGAATGGACACCGAGCAGTCACCTTTGCAGCCTCACAGAACATGATCGTAGGAAGCACATGTTTTCTACTCAAAAAAATACATATGGGGACTTGGACCTCGCCTGATGGATTAACGAAGAACCAAATTGATCATGTGATCATACATGCTAGACACTTATCCAACCTTATGGATGTCCGCACCTATCGAGGCGCTAATATTGATTCAGATCATTTTCTAGCTGGCACAAGAATTCGGGCTAGAATCTAAATGGGAAGAAGGAGAGAAGTACCAAAACAAGGCGTCTTAATACCGAACTTCTCAAAAATCCGCAAACGATAGAAAGGTCTCAAAACTATACCGAAACTAAATACATAACTAAAGAGAATCTAACAATTAGTTAACAATGGAAAATGTGTAAAAATTATATTAAAGATGCAGCAAATAACATTCTAGATCCGCAAAGAGCACCACCACGCAATGAGGGTTCGATGCTGAGTGCGAGGACATTACAAGAAGAAAGAACAATGCATTTAAACTGATGCAGCAAATAAGAACCAGAGAAAAAGATCAAAAATATAAGGATCCCAGAAGAGAAGTATATCCATCAGAGAAAAAAGCAAACTTATGAAAATAGAATATTGGAAGAACTTAAGGCATTAAAAAAGGAAAATCAAACAAGAAAATTCTATAAAAATCTGAATAATGCAAGAAATGAATTTAAACCAAGGATCGGACTAGATAAACATAAGAAGGGGCATATACTCAATACAAAAGAAGAAGTATTGAAAAGGTGGGTGGAACACTATAAAGAACTACTTACTATCGAAGTAGAAGATCCAAATCAACCACCCCAGGAGCAAACAACAATACACCATTGGAGCCTCCATCAATTCAAGAAGTGCGGGATGCAATAAAACACCTAAAAAATAATAAATCTCCAGGAAGTGATGGTATACTTGCAGAACTTATTAAATGTGGAGGTGCTACTCTTAATAACCATATATATATAAAATCATACCGAGAGCCTGGAATGAGGAACAAATCCCGGAAGAGTGGTGTATTGAGATCGTTTGCCCGCTACACAAAAAGGGTGATTAATTAGAATGTAGAAACTATAGGGGAATAACCCTCCTTATTACAGCATAAAAAATATTTTCGAGTATTTTATATAGTCGCCTGAGTGGATATTCAGTGGAGCTTCTTGACAAATATCAAAGTGGTTTTAGGCCTGGTCGATTAACAACAGACCAGATCTTTGTGCTGAGGCAAATACTGGAAAAAAACAATTAATTCAATATCGACACATACCATCTTTTCGTAGATTTTAAATCGGCCTATGATAATGTTCTAAGAAATAAATTATATGCAGCCATGGATGAATTTCACATCCCCGATAAACTGATAAGATTGATTAAGGCTACAATGCGAAAGTTATTTGCAAAGTCGAAATACAGGGCGAATAATCACAGGCATTTAAAACGCATGTTGGGCTGCGATAGGGAGATGCGCTGGCGTGTCTAGCGGAAAAGCTCAACATAGCTCTGGAAAAGGCAGTCAGGGATGCCAAATAGACAACAGAGGAAACATTTTTATTAAATCATCCCTAATGTTGGTAAATGAGGAGAAAACTAAGATAATGGCATTAACATCCAACAATAGAGTCAGAAACATCGGCCACCAATTTACTGTTAATAACTCTACCTTTAAAGTGGTGGACAAATTCACATACTTAGGCTCCCTGATCACTAAGTAGAACGTTATGACTGAAGAAATCAAGCGAAGAACAATCCTAGTAAACAAATGCTATTTTGGATTCAGTAGACATATGAGAAGCAGAAACTTAAGCCAAAAAACAAAAATAACCATATACAAAACCCTTATACAACCAGTGTTGACATATGGATCGGAGATATGGACCATTTCCAAGGCAGACGAAAACCTCCTGCTTATATTTGAAGGAAGAATCCTGAGAAGAATATTCTGTGGCATCTGTGAAAATGGTGTTTGGAGAATTAGGTACAACTATAAGATATATCTAAATCACCTTAGATATGCGGATGATATACTCTTGATCTCCTCGGAACGACAAGAATTGGAATTAATGCTGAATGAACTTTATGAAAAATCACTGCAAAAAGGCCTAAAAATTAACTTCAACAAAACAAAAGTAATGACAAACACGGAAGACCAAGAGGCAATAAAAAGAAAAAATAGAACAGGTAAATGAGTATATCTATCTAGGACAAGCAATCAGAGCTAACAGAGAAAATCAAACAGCCGAAATATCGAGACAAGTAAGAATGGGATGGGCAGCGTTCGGCAAACTTTCTTACGTTTTAAAAAATCAAACAATCCCTCTATACTTACGAAGCAAGGTATATAACTCCTGCATAATACCGGTGCTCACCTACGGAGCACAGACATGGACATTTACACAGGCCAATTTGGATAGGATAAGGAAGGCACAAAGAGCGATGGAGAGACAAATGTTGGGTGTATCACTTAGAGATAGAAAACGTATCCAGTGGATCAGAACCAGAACAAAGACAGTAGACGCGATAGAATAAGCAGCAAAACTGAAATGGAAATGGGCTGGATACAATGAACATCTCCAAGACGGACGATGGAACAATGCCATCGGAAAGTGGCGTCCATACAATGCAAAGAGATCAAGAGGCAGACCACAGATGAGGTGGAAAGATGACATCAGTAAACAAGGAGGTCCCACATGGCAGAAGACAGCTCAAACAGCTCAAGATAGGGAAAGATGGAGAGAACTGGGGGAGATCTATATCCAACAATGGAAGGATAGAGAATAGGTTAAAAAAATGAGATATATCACAGATATAAATATATATTTGGTGGTAAAGACGTAGTATCTCTAATAAAAATAGGAAGACTAAGATGGGCAGGACATCTGGCAAGATCACCGCATAAAAACCCTCCTAGAAGAATCCTTATGTCAAAACCTGTAGGAAGTAGAAGTAGGGGTAGACCAAAACCCAGATAGAGTGATGGTGTAGAAGAGGATGGTATAAAAATGGGCGCAGCAAACTGGCAACAGTTGGCAATTGACAGAACTGACTGGCGTAATAGACTTGGGAAGGTCGAGGCTCTTTTATCGGGCTGTAGCACCAATGATGATGATGACTTAAGCTATGGAAAACTTTTTTTTCACTTATTTTATGAAAAAAGCTATTCTTTATAAAAAGTTCTGGATGGCTTAAAATCCTAGATATTACAGTTATATATTTTTTATATAATTAAAATCTTCACTGTAATACGTTCTGAATGTATCTCTATGGAAGAATTCTCTGCCGATTCCCATACCTAATCTTTACTGCTAACATACTTATTATATATTACGTCACATTGACGACTTTGACGATAAACATCCGTTTTAGTTTCACCCAAAGCCCTTGGCATAGCATTTGAAAAGCTGCAAAATTACTTGCATATTTTAATCAAAATCTCACGTGGAAGTGACCCATTAAAGCCAAAAAATTAAAACAAATAAATCGTTGCACAAAACACTGCTTCACAAAAATATAATCAAACAAATATAGACTGATGGGATAGAGCCCTAGGGCTGTAGTAAGACTTCAAACACATAAATTTTGCAAACTTTCCAATCCAAAGCTTTGCACATGATAACTAAAGCTCCTTGTTAGTGAGCAATGCAACCATTAATTAACAATGATCTCTCCATCTTGTCGTTTTTCCTAATATTGAGGATCGTGATTTCTTCCAATATTCCTAACAATTTTTTTGATCGGTCTCTATATTCAGCGGCTCTGAGAGCTTCGCAGAATGAGTTTCAGCTAAATTCTTAATTTGGCCTGATCATCTAGTTGGTGATTATCCTCTTGAACTTCTCTCCGGAACGTTTCCAGAAACAATTATTCTCTCCAAACTGTCGTCACCCTTGCGAACCTCGTGACAGAATGATTGCAGAATACGTTGCAGACATATTGTGGATAGCCTTTTTTTATTCTTGAGTTGATTTAGAATGGAAACGTTTGTCCTATGAGCTGTCCAAGGTCTGCGCTGCATTCTTCTCCAGCACCACATCTCAAAGGCATCAATTTTTTGGTGCTCGCGTCCGCGAGAGTCCAAGTCTCTGCCCCGTATAAAAATATTAAGCATACAAGGGCATTCATCAGTCTCATTTTGATATTTTAAGAGATATATCTGTCTTTCCAAACTTTAGTTAGGCGACTTATCGCATTTTTTGCCATACCAATACGTCTCCGAACTTCTGCTTCACAGTTACCATCATTAGTTATACTAGACCAGAGATAGACAAACCTGTCCACTATATGGTATTCCTATAATATGTTAGTAAGTTAAATAATGTGGAATCTGTCGACCACCATTATTTTTGTCTTAGCTTGATTGATTTTTAGACCAACTTTATTGCTTTCCTACTCAACTATTCGCAGAAGATTAAACCTTTCTTGCTCATTGGATGCTATAAGTAGTGTTATCAGCAAATCTTAAATTGGAGATTTTCCTACCAGCCACTCCATCGGCCATCCATATAAAGCCATCCTCATGACATGTTGACCATAAATGTTGAATAAGTCAGGTGACAATACTCATCCTTATCGTACACATCTCCCGGTCTTAAATTGGTTTGATAACTTCTGATCTAGTTGTACTGTTGCTATATTGGACTGGTACAGATTTTTAATAAGTATCACCAGGTGCACTGGTGTACCCATTTCTCTTAAAATAGACCACAATTCTATCCAGTTTACACAATCAAATGTTTTTTGGTAGCCAACGAAGAATATAATTATAGGTACTTGAAATTCTCTAGACTGTTCAATGAGTTTTCTTAGGTTCAGGAATTGTTCCCGTGTACTTTTACCCTTTCCAAACACCGCTTTTTCCTGAAGTATTTGGTAATGTAGGTAGGATTTTAATCTGTTTTTAATAATATGCAACACTATTTTACTATCATGTGTTATTAGTGACAGTGCGGTAGTTTTTACATCTGGTACTAGTTTTTTTATGTAGCGGGATATAAATTGAAGTACACCAATCATACAGACATTTTTCTGAATTCCAAACAGCGACACAGATAGAATGGATTATATGTAATCCTTTGTTACCTACTAACTCTAGTATTTCACCTTGTATTAAATCAATGCCTAAGGATTTATTTCTCTTTAGCAATTTAATTGCATCTTTGACTTCAGCGAGTAAGACAGTAGGTTCTCTAGGGTAGTCAGAGGGCCACTGAGTTTCTCCTGGTACCTCGTTATTTTTATATAGCTCGCCACGGTAGTTTCGCCATGTTGCCAATATTTCATTAGTATCGGTCTTTAGATTACCTTCCTTATATACTACATACTACGTTAGAGATGTAAATTCTCTGGTTAAGAATTTGATCTTAAGAAATAAATTCCTCGATTTATTTCGACAGCCATGTTCCTCTATCTCTATCTCTCTGCATATTTAAGATAGGTAATCAGCTTTGTCTTTGCGGCACTGTTTTCTGATTTCTTTTAATAACGCTCTGTATTCATTGTATGTTCCGGATGATAAACAACGATCTAGGAGTATCAAAAGTAAAAGATGCCATGCCACTAAACGCCAATAAGGCAAAAATTTGTGGTTCAAGGCACACCATTCACATTATCAAAGACTTATTTATCAGCCACCAATCGGGAAATAAAGACTGAATAGGTCGGAAAACATTTACTAATTACTTAATGTACCCGTTTAGAAGTAAATTGTAAATATGCATAAAACAGGAATGTAATTCTAGAAGTTTAATTAACACATTAAGGTAAACAAAAGTTTAAAATATCTCTCTATATATAACAGAAATGATAGGTAATCTGAGCAGTAGTTATTATATTCCTCCATTAAAATATGTTTTTATCAGAATACGGAATATATAACGAATAATACTATAGCTCAAAGATAGGAAGAAACAATCAGGTAGGACAATACTATTTTTAACATTTTTTTTTATTTTAGAACAAGGCACCTAAAATGTGAAAAACAACATTGTGATGAATTCATAGTGCTGCATTTGGGCTTTTTAGATTATACACATTATATTATAACAGTCAATTTCTACGGGCTGGAAGCATTCCATTCAAGATACAATATCAACGAGTTATTTTTCTATGTAAGTATTATTTTACTGTTTATAATGACGTTAAAGGGTTTCGCAAACGTTCTTGGTCAATAAAAACATGGTCTGTAAGATTTTCTGACGTCTATAATGTGTTTTCGTTACAGACAGACGTTGATAAAATTGTAGTTATATTAAAAAAATATAAATATTTTAAATAATGAGTAAAACGGTATATTAGATGTTATTAATGCCCAATATTACCAAAAATTATAATTTTTTTACAAAATATGAAGTTGCCTGCAAGTATTTGAGGCCATCCCCGGAAAAAGGGCCCATATGCCAAATAGCGCTTTTGAGAAAAACGCAATTGAAAATTTAACAAGTATTTTGAAAACAAAGATAAAACTTTGAACTTTATTGAAAGCTAAAATAAAAGTATTGTATTTAAACTAAAGTAACAATAAAATGTTTTAAAGATATAGACACATTTTTATGTCAATAAAATTTTTTTACATTAGCTAGTCATGTGCCCTTTTTTCTAAAAAAACTTCTTCTAGTATCCACCATATCCATTGTTCATCTTCTTGGGATAAAAACGAAAATAGATCTCTCACGTCTTTTTCCTTCGCCGGCTTTATTCCAACCACTGGCACGGTTTAAAGAGCAGTGTTTTTGTTTATGTTTTTTCCTTTCCAAATTGTGAATGGTATGTAATTTTCCATGTATATTTGAGAACAAGCCAATGTTCCGTCTTTTTTGTATTTCATCTGTACATACTGCTGAATGCTGAAAACAAGTCCCTTTATTTTTGGCTTATTTAGAAAGAGTACTTCCGGTCCAATTTTTGATTATCGTTCTGTCCATGACAACATTAAAAGGAGATGGATTTTTCCGACAATGTACTATTGCTTCCAAATATGGCTTTGCCATATTTGAATACGCGTCGCTATGTATTCCTTTTATTTTAAAGATGACTTTAACAGTCCAAAAATGCGATCGCACTGGTTAAAGGAATGGCCACGAACCGGAAATAGAGGTCGAATATTGACGTTAAACTTGTGTGCTATCCACATTCCAAATTTTACCATTGAAATGTTCTTATTTTATCCTCCACGCGCATCCGACAAAAATACGATTTCAGTGACATCGCCATTAATTTTTTTGCACAAGCAGTCATAGACGAATGAAATAACAGAATCGGCATCTTTTTTCCTTGTCCTTCCATAAATGTATACATAAAAAACGACCCATCATTGTAAATATGTATATTAAAGAGATAACACCAAAGTAGACCTTTATAAAACTGCACTGTTACATTGAGTTTCGGAACTGGTAGATTTTGTCCACAGTCAAATTCAATAACAAGGCAACTACTGTCAGTTTTACTTATTTCTATCAGATTCCTTCTCATTGCTATATGTCGCTTTACTTTCACATTGTAAAGGCGATAGGAAATTGCACAGGCATCGTTAGGATTAATAGATAGTTTTTGTTTACATTCTGTGCAGAAATCACATACGTCTGTTTTGAGATTGTTAAAACTGTATGAACGCAGTGACTTAAATTTTCTACTAAACTTTTTAACTAAAATTTTTATTTTTAAATATAATTTCATCTTTAGATTGATGCATGTCTTTTCTTTATAGTATTGTACAAAAAGCTCATATAGCCGGGATTCTCAAAATATTTTAGTTTGGATTTGTGTTGGGAATAATGATGTTTCTTAAACGTAATAGTTTCCAAACGCTCTTTAAGCAAGTTATGAATGTTGGGAGCAAATTTGTTGGGTCTGTTGGCATGTCTCCCTCGCTTTTCTGTAAACGAATCCCCTTCAATTACCTTGTTTTGTACGAAAGGAATGCGCTTCACAGATACTTAAAAAAGTTTTTGGATTATGCTCCGACATGTTTTAATTCTGTCACCCTTTTGAGACACGAAGTATTCCCATATATACGCTCGTAAAACTTTTGGATTATTCTTGAGTCGGTTACGGTCTACATTAAGTTTTTTCATACACTGAGCCAACAAAGAGTCCTGTTAAGGCTTTGCTTGTAAATAAAAGTGTTGAAATAAATGTTTTTGATCATCGACGGGTAAAACTTTTGTCCAGGCAGCATTTTATGATTAACTGAAATGACTTAGCTGCAACATCGTGACCTGCCGAGGTGACGTATATTTTACCTGATTGCCTTTTAACTTTTCTTATTTCTTGCGTCATATTAATCCTCTTACATCTTGTCAGTTTTTGTTTTGTTTATCGAATGACACAGGTTTGAGACATTGTTGCCAAACTTGGCCGAAATCAACTTTACATCATGTATCAGATTAATTTAAACGATCCGCGGGAAAATGGTCCATAGGCTTATGGGCCCTTTTTCCGGGAATAGTCTCATTTTGAGTTTGTTCATAAAAAAGACATTATTAGACCAGATAAATTAGCAAATAACAAGATTTTTTCCTGACACTCTTTGATACAGATATCTAACAATTGTTTTTGATAAATTTGTTGATAACAATATGTAAGAGAAAGATTTTTTCCTGTTTTCCTCAGAAAATACGAAAAATATACTAAGCAAAACAAAATACTACAAATCCCAAAATAGTAGCAGTCAAGATTTAAGTCAAGAACAAAAAGTTGTACAGATATTAACGCTAAAATTTTACATGATAGAAAGCCAGTCCTTGATATATCGGCACAACATTAAAGCGATTACTTTAATTTAGATTATGTTGAAGATGGTGACAAGATAGAAAATCAATTAAACATACATTAGCAACTACACATTGAAGCACCAACAAGAGAAGTGTCAAATGCTGTTCAAAAACTTAAAAATAATAAAACCCCAGGAAGGGCTTTATTATTTTCGAAATCGGCTTCAAAATCTAAAAGAAAGGTAGCTACCATCTTTTGACAGTAATTCATAAACTTATAGTACTTATATAGCGAATTCAATTGATACCAGAGGAGTGAGTGGCTAAATAGAGTAATATGCCCACTGCATAAAAAGTTTGATGAACTTGATTACAAGAACTATATCCAATACTCTGTTAGTACCTATCTGTATATAAAATATTCGCCAACATACTTATTTAGAAAGTTAAACTCTCTACAAAGGATATTATTGGACATTACCTCTGCCGAAAAGTCAACTATACACCAAATATCTTTTAAAAAGTGACACATAAACATACACACATAAACACACCATATGTTGGTCGACTTCAAAGCAGTCTATGAAAGTGTTCAAAGAACTGCACTATATAATAAAACGGTAGGCTTGGAGATCCCACGTAAGTGAGTTAAATTGACAAAACTAATAATGCAAAACGTAAGCTCGTGCCTTAGAATTGAAGGAGAAAACCATACGTTCTTTAATATTAATAATGGTATGGTATAACAGGGAGGGGGTTACAATGCTGAACGTGAGCCTTCGAGACCACATAACAAACCAACAAATCAGGCAAAGATCAGGAGTTTAAGACGTCATTGAAAGAACCACGACGCTTAAGTGGAACTGGGCAGGGCACTTAGCCAGAACACAAGATGGACGGTGGACAAGACGTATTATGGAATGGAGGCCCAGAAATTATAAAGGAAGCCGAGGACGACCACCGACTAGATGGACCGATGACATTAAACGTGTAGCGGAAAACTGGCTACAAGCGGCCCAGTGTAGAGAACACTGGCAATAACTGAGGGAGGCCTATGTCCAGCAGTGGACGCGATTGGCTGATTGATAACAGGGAGATGCGCTAGCGTACCTCCTCTTTAATATTGCCTTGTAAAGGTCAGTCAGACAGATCAATATTATATTGAAAGAAATCTTCTTTCATATATTGACACACATTTCGCAATCGCTGATGATATCGGTATAGTGGCCAGAAGTATGAGGGACGCAGTGTTTTAAAATGTTTACAAACGCAACAAGAGAACTAGGACTTGTAAACAGAATGTTCAACAAAGAATCTAGGGGCTAGTTGGTATATTTGAGTGAAAAATACTTTTGGGGTCGTAAATGTAAGAGTACAGCTGTAAGTAGATAATGCTCCAGTCGAGCAAGATTGAGACATAGACGATAAAAATATCCTCCATAAGGAAGTCTTAATAAAGACAACACCTGAGAAAGAATTAACCAACTTGATCAAAGTACGAAAAATTGGATGTTTGGGTCATATCCGGAGAGGAAAAAATAAGCAATCTGTTAACTAATTATTCAAGGAAAGATTGAGAGCAAGAGACAATTTTTCCAAAGTATAAATAACACTGGCGAGCTTCTGCGTGCCGCAAAAGACAGACATTCGACAATGCACTATAGGTGCACGGCACTATAAAAATAAATAAAAATGGTCTATGGCGTCGAAGATATAACTTTGAATTATTCCAGCTATATACAGATCCAAATATTGTGAAGTATATTACGGTGAAAAGACTAAGATGAGCTACACATATAGCTAGCATGTCAGATAATGAGTACAAGAGGAGATTGACACTGTCAAACCCAGAGGGCAGAACAAATAAAGGACGACCGTGTAGAAGATAGATTGATGATGTCGAAATAGACCTTAGGAATTTGATAGTGACGTAAATGGAATTGTCTACTTCATCGAGGAAAAAGCCGAGGTAATGAAGATGACTGAGGTGAGGGAGTGTATGCTAAATTATCAGCAAGACGAAGATATAGACTTGATTAAAGAAGTTGAGGAAAGGCAAGAAATGCCCAAAGAACCAAATAAAATTATCACCTTAAAATCTTCAAAGGAAATAAAGAAACTAATTAAAAACAATTTTTACAGAAAGCAACAGGTTTAGATAAAATTACAAACAGAGCTCTAGAGTATGTATCGGTGAAAGCAATAGCATTTCTAACAAATTTGACAAATACGATAATTAGATAGACTCTTCCCCAAACGATGAAAGGAAGCTCATGTCATCATGATTCCAAAGTTAGGAAAGAACACCACGTTCCCACAAAACTACAGTAGTCCAATTAGCTTACTTCCAGCGGTCAGCAAGATTGTGGAAATAGTCATACTCAACAGACTCGAAGCAGAGATAGACCAGCTAGGACTGATTCCAGAAGCTTAGTTCGAATTTAAAGCAGACCACTTCAGCGATCTACTAATATTCAGACTAACAGAGTTCATAACAGCAGAATTCAACGATAAGCAGTACATTGGAGCAGCCTGACTGGATGTAAGCCCAGCCACGTTAGAATGTGGTATAAAGAACTTACATATATAATAGGAGGCTATGGATACAATGGTGCCATGACAAAACTGATTTCTTTGTACTTGAGCAACCGAAGCTTCAGAATTCGAATTAGACAAGTTCTGCCCGAACTCGAATCTCCGGACTCTGGAGTGCCGCAGAGAAAGGTCCTGTCACCTGTATACAATATACACCGTATACAATATACATGGCCGATGTTTCAAAAACACCTGAAATACTATTCAGCCTTTATGCAGACGACGCAGAAATTGCGCCCACATAGAGAAATATCTATTTGGGCGCAATTGCTGCTAGACTTATAATGCAAGGGAAAGTGGAAGGAAAAAGAGGCCCAGGAAGAAGAAAATGCTGCTGGTTGAAGAATGTAAAAGACTGGACAGGTATGGACACAGGCAAAAGCCAACCAAACCAATTAACAAAACCCCAAAAACCATGACACGAAGAGACCATATTTTTGAGCATCGAGTCTTCGAACTAGGCGTAGCCAAGATTGGAGACTCGAGGTCCGAGCAGCAATTCCAGTTTGAAGATACGTCAATAGAAAAACCAGAAAAAAAGCGCCTTACGCTAACTTGCATTGATTGGGTTAGGATATCGTGTTGAAGTTCTGGTGTCCAGGACTTCCACAAGAGAAGCACTTAGCTGATAAGAGAGTCGCTGTCGTGCATAAGAGTGCTTAATGTGAGAAAGGGCATCTAGAGCATTGAAGCACGGTGAAGTGCTTTCTGGTTTCACAAATTAATACACTTAACTTTAATTTGTAGTATCACTTAAATGTCATTCAAAGGGTGTGTAAGTCTCTCAGGCTGAGTTTAATCAAACTGCTGCTATTGCTAAAAGCCAGATCGATTGTGATAGACACAGGACATGCTTTGAATATTACACATGCTGGAAGTTATAGCTGAGCTAATAATAATTAGGAACACCACATTGTGGTTATTAAATATAAAAACAAATTGACACCAAAGTAATAGAATATGGTGCAAAGTAGATTAAATAACATTCAGAAGTAAGAGCTATTTCAACTAGCGGATTTACTATTTCACTTTGTAAAATTATTTAAGATTTGATTCTATGGCAAGTCATGGGATCCTAGGGAATCATTCGACAGCTTTTTTGTCTTTTACTGTGTTGTTGGATTTTTTTCTATTTTGTTATTTGCCTTATTTTCAATGTTCAATAGAGAAAGTTTGGAAAAAAGGGTATACTCGCTCTAATAATTTGGTTGTCGGCAGTTTTTATGAAAAATAGTTAATAATTTTCTTAAATCAATGACTGCCATTTTAAAACGGCACGAGAGAATTTTGAAAAAATCTAGTAACATACTGTCATAAGAGTATTTTTCATATAATCTATTACATGCAAAATAATATTATATCATTTAAGGACAATGTTGAGGATGTTATATTTTTGTTATATGGGGAGGATGTTATATAATTATATCAAGTTATCATCATCATTGGCTTTTACAACTCTTCGTGAGTTTTTGCCGCGTTTACTATTGCCTTCCATTGATTCCGATCCTGTGCTATTATTTCCCATGGCCTTACTTCCATCTTCTCCAGGTCTTCCCTGACAGCGTCTTTCCACCTTTTTCTAGGCCTTCCTGTCGATCTTTTACCATCTGGTCTTTCCCAAAATACATTGCTAATCAGTCTATCGTCATCACTCCGTACCACGTGGCCTGCCCATCTTAATCTATTGGCTTTTATGTATCTTACGATGTTTCCTTTCCGAAGAGAGTCTCTATTTCATTGTTGTATCTGCTCCTCCATTCATTTGTCACGCTGTCCCTGCAAGGACCATATATAATTCGCAGGATTTTGCGTTCCCATACTAATAACTTATTGATTTCTTTCTTTCTCAATGTCCATGTTTCACTTTATATCAAGTTATGGGAAACAAGAAAAATAAATAATTATAATAAATCGTTTTCTATAAAAGCTTTTTTTTATAAAAGCTAAATCCATAGTCCACAGTTTTTGCACATAGTCGGTTTAAAATATGTATCTCAAGAGAGTCGCGCAAAACCTTGAAACGTGTTGAGTAAAATAAGTATTGTAAAATGAGGTTTTACTAACTCTATAAACCTGATAAAAAGATATTTTAAAAATAATGTCAATGTCTCAGCGCAGTTACCTAAAAAATATTAATATACATGATCGATGGTTGGGAAATAGTTCAGACTTTAGATTTGCATTGTATAAATTAGATATCTTTGGAGAGAAAAGACCATGTAGACATTTGGAAGAACTTTCTGCTTACTTTCTGCAACTTATTTCCTTTTTGTTTCAGTTTAAAACCTACAATCCAGGATTTACTCAGATTGAGATATGGTTCAGATTTATATTTTTGGTATTCACTTTCGTAGTAACGGTAAGATTTTTAATGAATTTAAAACTTATTTTTAAGTTGTAACATTTTTAGTGCTGGTATCAACATACTTTAAGAAAGTACCCAATGTATGATTGGTCAATTGAGCAAAAGTGGATGTCTATTTTGTTACCAATGTTGATGGCATATGACAGTAAGTATTAATATTATAAAAAACTAAATATTTATAAACATTATAGCACAATTAATGCGGTCATCTGATACCCAATTCTTGATATCGTTGGTTTGCTCAACTTGGAGTATTTTGGCAAAATCCTTGTCGGAACATACAGCAAAAATACACCTTACACACCTTATTAATAACTGAAATAACTGTATACAAATATAATTAGCTGTAAAAACAGGGTTCTGTAATTGTACAAAGAATAGCGGGGAATAATGGGAGTGTATATTCAATAATTTTGATTCAAAAATTTCATATTTGCAAATACTAATCTGTAAATGAAAGGAAAGTAAAAAAAATATTTTAATCTTCAGTTTAATTGATACAGTTTTTGTTGTTGTTTAACTGAATGTGAATAATTGTTTACTTTAAATTAATATTAATACTAGCTTGCTATAAGCACGTGTTCTTGGTTATATTGTCAGTGCCACTTCTAGTAGAATTAAAAATTTGTCCAATGTAGAATTATTCGAAAATTACAGTTCACTCGTTCACTGATCGCAGCCTAGTTGGGACAGGGATCAGCGAACTGGTATATCTATATAAGATATGTATATCTACCAATCCAACTGGCCACAGTTTATCTACTATACAGCTTTTTTTTCTAGGCCCTGTCACACATTAGTGTTCATTAGTATATTACTTATTGCGCCATTTTGTGCATATGACCATATGGCATGAATTTTTCGAGTTGTAATTTCGTCAACTACTGTTTACTTCATTTACCTAATTTCACATATTCCTTTATTTCTTCTTCTTCTTCTTCCTCTTTATAAGCAGTTTTGCTTGTTCATTGGCGGATTGATACCTTTATGGAAGGTTGTTGCTCCATATTTGGTGCGGTCGTACAATACTTCTTTAACCGATTGGTGATATATCTCTTGCTATTTTGATCACACGTGTCTCCCCATTCTGCTTATGTGGCTATTTCATTTTTTTCTGTTTGAGGTTTGGCTTTATAAATTTTTAAACTCATCTCAGTGTTTAATATGTCGGTTTCGCCATATAGTGTTATTAAGACCTACCAATCTATTGAACACATGTATTGAACACGTATTAAAATAGCACGTACATCATTTATTAAACTTAAAAAGTGTCTTTGTTGTCGGGATATAAGGTTGGAACTACGCCTGAGAATGCTTCGATGTTACGTGTTCTCTACTCTTCTTTATGGTCTGGAAGCTTGGACACTAAAACAAGTTCATCTGAATAAGTTGGCCGCCTTTGAATTTTGGTGTTACAGAAGAATCCTACGAATATCATGGACTCAAAGAATGTCAAACATGGAAGTAACTAGAAGGATAGGAAATGAGGCGGAAATAATATTAATTATTAAAAGACGAAAACTTGAGTACTTGGGACATGTGATGAGAGGGCAAAAATACGCACTATTACAACTTATTATGCAGGGCAAAATTCGAGGAAAGCGAAATGTGGGAAGACGAAGAATATCCTGGCTTAAGAACTTGAGGGAATGGTTTGAATGCAGTAGTGCAGAACTTTTTAGAGCGGCAGTCAACAGAGTCCGCATAGCCATGATGATTTCCAACCTTCGATAGAAGATGGAACTTAAAGAAGAAGACCAATCTATTTGCTTTTGTAGTTGATATCCCACTTTGTCCAGATGTTCATAGCTGGACACTTGGACGATGTAATTACAGGATATTTTATTTCCATTACTTGTTTTGATTGGTTCTTTGCTGATTACTAATGTTTTAGATCTCTGTCTTTAGATTGTGATATTAAAATATTTTGCTCTTATGTTAAATCTGTGGACTAGTCTTCTTCACCTTCGGCTATCAATATTGCATCGTCTGCGTAAAAAAGTATTTTTCCTTTTTTGTTTTCCATTATGTATCCTCTTTCTTTGTAGACACTCTTTATGATTTTATCCATAATTAAATTGAAAAGCGTAAGGCTCACGATGAGTTCTCCTATCTTTTTATTCCGCTATTCTGATTCCGCTGCCCTATATCTATTGATTGTCAATCTATTCTGAATTTTATTTTATTGTTTTGGTAGAGTACTTTGGTACTTTGGTATTTTCAGTAGTTTTTATAATATTTACGGGAACTTCTTTTTTATGACGAATACTGCATCTGTACACGATCTTCTAGTACGAAAACCCTGTGGTACATGTTAAACTAATTCTCTGATTCGTTAGGTTCTTATAAAATATTTTTGGTATTTACATAAAGTACCTTGACAACCATGGCCATTGGTACAGGAACAATAATAATAAATATATAATAAATGTTGGAAAACAATAACAAGTATATCAATTTAACTAATTGATTGCCTATTACATTAAATTTTCTGGTAGAGGTTAGCGGTTTTTGGAAACTGTATAGTTTTGGGAAAACAAATAATAATAATATCACTTTCACTAATGTCTATTGTTTGTGCTTCATACAGATTGTTGAATTGTTTGCAGTATGTGAGGATGTGTTGTACAATCACGTAAATATTGCACTGGTGGTAAGTTATACGAGTTCCAGAGGACATCAAGAAACCATGAATAAGGTTGGTGTGGATGATTCGGAGTGTTCTAATATTGTCTTTTAGTTAGGTAGTCCAGGGACAGATAATCAATAAACGGTTGGATGTCATGAGGAGTTGTTTTGCTCTTTTGCCATAAGTTTTGCCAAGTATCCTCTAATGACTTTTTGAAAACGAGTTTGAGATTGTTAGCTAGTTGAATTGGGATGAGTCTAGTACTATGGTTGATAGATTCTTTTGCAAAATTATCTGCTGTTTCATTACCAGTAATTCCAGTGTGAGAAGGCACCCATATGAGAGAGACTGTTACATCGTGAGCAGGGAGATTTTGGTATATGTCATGAATGTTGTGAACTAATGGGTGGTCAGTGAAAATTATATTGACTGAATGGATAGATGAAAGGGAATTTAAACAAATGGCAATGGAAAAGTCCCGCAAATACCTTTAATCCCGATGAACGGGATTAAAGGTATTTGCCGATGTTGATGCAGCATAAGAAAGTGGAAGAGATTGTTGTTTTAGGGTAAGAGGAGATTCATTAGATTCACGGTACAAGCTCTCGATAGGAGTAAAGCGAAAAGCACCTAGACATAGATGGATCGCGCTATTGGGAACATAGTTTAATGAATCTATGTCAGATCGAGATGCAGAGGAATAAACAAAGCTATTGTAGTCAAGCTTAGATTGGAAGAGGGCTTTGTTGACTCTTAATAAAGTAGTTTTATCGACACCCCATTAAAAATGACTAAGGGTTTTAAAAACGTTCAGCTTTTTAAAACATTTCGATTTAAGTTCAGAGATTTGATTTTTTTGAATTTGTAATCTGGAGTCAAATATCAACGAGAGAATTTTACATTGATTAACAAGAAAATGAAAAATTGTTGAATAAAATTTGGGGTAACGGAGTAGAGGTCCTTCTTGAAAATTTTATTAATTTGGTTTTGCTATGAGAGAGTAATAATCCTAGTTCGTTAGATCTATCTTGAAGTAGAATTACTGCACTTTGTATAAGTTTACATGAGGTGGGGACGATAAAATATTAAATATAAGTTTTAAGGTAGTATTTAACAAATTTATACGTCTGTAGTTTTCTGGCCTTTTCTTCGTTTTTTATCCCGTTTTTTGAATAACACAATTAATTCACTAATTTTCCATTGTGTTTTATAATTTTGCTAATTAATGTTGTTATCTGCTCTGTTAATTTTTTTGCACACTCCCAAGTAAATTGGTTTCTGACAGTGAAAGCATACATAGGCCGTTTTTTTTCTTGTAGTGACAAAGTGAACAATCTTTTCTTTTTATACTGTTTACACTCGCATTTCCAAGGGTTTTACGATGTCTTCAACGCCAAAGATTTTACATTATGTTCGATCTGAGTTTCTTCGGAAGATATTGATTTTCCTATCGTTTCTTAATGTAGGATTCCACAAGCTGTAAGGCTAATTTTGAAATAAATTTTAAGCGTTCTAGGTCTTTAATATTTTTGTAAGATTCGTAAAGCGTCGAGTTGAACGAGTACAAGTAAACTTGCTACATTTCTCATCTAACGAGCCGACACCCCCTTTAGAAGAGTTTTAAACAGCAATAATATTAGGTTTATTGGTTCGTGGTGTTGTTCTACACAGCTGATGCTGTTCTCCGTGTGTGGAGAACCAGCTGTTCTCCGTGTGTAGAGGTTTACTCTCCGGCTCTGGAACTCACTCCAGCTATGTATGTTACCTGAAGTCATATTTAATTTAATACTGAACATCACAGTTTTTTAACAACATGATGTTTAATCTTTTACGACTATATGTAATTTAAGGGTTCTTACCCATGTATTTTGGTGGCTCAGGCATTTTAACCTAGCAACTTTTTTTTTGATAATAAAAGAATATTGATTTGTGTGGTGTAAGAAACCAATGTAATATCTTTTTTATCTTTATACAGGCTTGTTCTTACTTCACGATTTCTTGATGGTAAAAAAACTGCAGATATTTTCTTTATGGTCTTCTTCACATTACGAATACAAATTAAGTCTCGTTTTTCACGAGCTGCACCAACTCAATCGAAGTAAAACAATTATCAAAAAGCACTAATCTATGAACCAAAAAGGGGTTATGCAAGTCGCATGATGGCCTCTGTTGGTTTACTAAATATCTTTTCATCATCTGGTAATTCGTTTAAAACCGAATTTTTGCTCATATAGATGTGTGAATTTAAAAGGTAATTGGTTATGACATCAGTATAGCACATTATTTTTATACCATACTTCACAATCTTATTTAAGATATAAATTTGAAAACTGCACCGCCTTCTAGATCCTACAAGAATTTCACCAATGCATGCTTATTTGCCTATGGTGTAAGTTTTGATAAAAACATCGAACATTTCTGATACTGGAGTGCCTAGGGTTACTGATTTTCACCCAGAGCTTCCAAACTGTGAATGTGTTAATAGGATCTCCAATATTTTTCGTTATCTCACGTAA